ACACTATATCGGATTCATATCGGTATCGGCAGATATCCAAATTTATGATATCGGTATCGGACATAAAAAAGTGGTATCGTGCCATCTCTAGTAAAAACCTAAAACGAGTTACTGATCACATAAACTCATCTAGAAAGTGTTTACAGAGGTAAAGACAGGAAGCCGCTTCCCCCTACAGCTATCGCCACCTGCTGGCTACTGACAAGAATGCAGACATGACGGAGCTCCTCACTGGCCTCACTTTTCAGACCTGGAAACTGTGTCCATCTTTCCTGATGTCTGTGGCTGTTCCCTGATGAAGAACAAGACTCTGTACCATCTGAGTCTTTGACCCTTTGAAGTCAAACACTGTTTTAAGAAGTTTTTAGGTTTATATGTTGAGGACCTAGATCACATGTGAACTCAGGGATGGTTCAAGTTGTGGACGGCTTTTCTCCCCGCACCCAAAGTCTAGAAAACAGGACTTTGGGTGATTTCTTCTTCTCAGAGACAGAGGTCCTCAGACGGTCTTTAAGTATAACGTGCTGGAAGGGTTCAGTGCTGCAGATGCAGGTGGAAGAGTCTGGAAATGGGAGCAGAACTCAGGACCATGGCTACAAGTTCAAGACTGGAAACAGTCTAAATGTCCATCTGACCATCGTCAGGTCCAAGAAGTTAGTGTTACTGATGGAACTAAGGCAAGCTTCTGTAGGGATCGGGCAAACGAGCCTTCAGATTAGTTCGTGACGATCAGTACATATGTTTTCTGACATATCCTAAACTCAAACGCCATAAATATCAGAATGGTTTTTGTTCTACCAGCATCTGCTCTGATCTTGATGCTTTATAACCAGAGCTGTCAATTTACAGACAGCTACTTTCACCAATTACTCTCCTGAACAAAGGGTTAGGGAGTTGGGACATTTACAACTCAGAGGGTTTGTAAATGTAAATGTTACTTGAGGTAAATGTCTGGTAAAACCTTCGTGTCCTGGTCTCCAGGAGCTCATTGGTCGCATCCCAGATTGGATGCAGCTGCGTGTGATGCAGGCCCGGCTACCCGGGGACACCCTGGACGTACTGCTGCTGCACAGGCTGAGCCTCGGCACCCCCGTGGACCACAAAGACCTGCCCAGTGCTAACTTGACCTCCAGACCTCTCCGCCAGGTGATGTATGGGCTGCTGCTGGGCAAAGAGACGTCATATAAGGTGGAGGAGAGAGACAGGGAGGACCTCCAGCTGAAATTCATCCGAATCAAACCAACCTTCAGTCGAGTGGCTCAGTGGCTCCAGCTGAACTCACTGCATGAGGTGACAGTTTTAATGGAAATGAACTGCGGTTTGTGTTTTTAATCCTCAGTGCAGCAAGCTAACTTTAATGTCTGTCACAATGTCGTTTCGACTCTTCGTCCGGCTGTCTCGTGGCCCCAGGCGCAGCTCTCTGAACGTCTGGAGGTCTTACTCGAGGCTCTCGGGGTGAAAGAGGAACTTCTGAACGAGCTGCCGCCTCAGCTGCGCCTCCTAGTGGCTGTGACCTGTTACTGGTGGAACAGAGCTCGGCCTCGTCCGGACCTGAAGCTGCTGAAGTCGTTGCTGCTGGGAATGAACCTCAAAGACACATCGCGACTCAGCGCAGGTAGGAAACACAACCAGAGGAGACGTTACCAAAGCCTGCAGTTCCTCTGGTGTCCAGCAGAGGCAGCAGCGAGTCAGTCCTCATAGAGTCCCATGTTAAAACTACAGCAGAAATAAACATGTTTACAGCCTGATACTGTTCTGTTCTCGGACATTCTCTGGACAGTGCTCACCTGTTTAAACTGGATTAAGGCTAAAGGTTTATTAGCAGCAGAGACGTGTGTGTGGACTGTATCATGGATATTATTACCTGTGAAATAATCTCCAGGCTCAGTTCAGTCCAGAAATATCAACCGTGTTAGTCTGTTTTACATTACACGACAAAGAAAGGTTCAAATCTACGATTCTGAAGATAAAATCAGCTTTTAAAACTTTGATTCTTCTGATCTTAGTTTTTATTATGAAGATTTTTCTTCTTTCGGTGCTGCAGAAATCTTGTTGGTTTAAAAATGTTTCTAAATAAGTCCCTCTGTGTGTGTGTGTGTCTGTGTGTGTGTGTGTGTGTGTGTGTGTGTGTGCTTTGCAGTTGTGCAGGCTCGCTGTCATCAGAAGCCTGATGTGGGCGTGGCTCACGCCTTCAGCCAGTGGCAGGTGTGCATGAAGGACAGCATGCACCTGAACCAGCTGCTGGGCCTCCCTCTGCCTGAACCAGACGTCGCACGGTGAGGCGTTCTCTCAAAGCGCTTGTTCACGAGGTCGTTTGTAGGCGTGGAGCAGATCAGTGTGCCAAACGTGCATAGGCGTGTTTTTATTATGGCGTGCTGTAGAAACCGTTACATGACTTCCTCTATGTGACGTTTGTGTTTGCGGAGGCTTTAATCAGTACAGTTCTGTACAATCGCTCTGCAGGATCAGTGACTCGCAGCTGTTTCACAGTATAAATGTGCATATGCAGGCAGACTCACACAGCTGTGTGTTTGCATGGAAAAGCCTCAATTGGCTCCTGATCCATGGATGGATGGAGCCCCTCCCTCACAGTTTGATGAAAAAGTGGCAGCAAAGAGCGGGGACTGTGTTGTAGAGTTTCAGGAGGTTCTCACATGAGATCAGAGCGCTCTGGACTCGCCTGCTTAAACCAACATGTTTGTCTGGAAGGAGAAAGAGAGCAGAGCTTAGTTAAAGGCTGGTTTGGACAAATGATCCAGCAGAGTGAACATTCTCCATCTTCTCTTTATGATCTCCAGGTTCTATCAGGGGACGCTGGTCCACCAGCTGGTCCACATGAGGAGAACAGGAAGCAGACTGAAGCGTGTCCTGAAGCCAGATCAGGCCAGTGTGCAGCAGTACCGCGACATGCTGTCGGCCATCCGCCGGCTCCGGCCCCGGCCCCGCCAGGGCTCCGAGTTCTCAGAGAGCGAGCAGGCAGAGAGGCGGGCTCTGAACGACCAGACCAACCTCAGGCTGTTCCAGCTGGACTACGACGAGGAGATAGAGGCTCGCAGCTTGGCCCGGGCACAGGAAGAGCTGCGGCTGGATGATCGGCTGCTGCTGAAAACTCGGTACAAAACCAAGGAGAGAAGGAATCGCTGCAACAAAGTGGAACTGAGCCGGAAGGAGGAGGGCCGAGGCATGGACCTCCTCTGACGGACCGTCGCTGGAACCGCCGTCAGCATCCACTCTGTCTGGCTTCAGCCCACTTTCTCCTCCCTCTGTTGGCTCCTGTGCTCCAGACTCTTTATGGGACAAATATCTGCTAGTTTTTCCACAATCTGCGTCATTTCAGAGGATTTTACAGCCTTTTATTTGTGATTTTACAGGAAGCATGAATGTAAGTTTAATAAAAGGAACCTCATCAATAAAGATTTTAATGTTTCTGACCCCCAATCTTTTTTTCCTGTCCTGTCTGAAGGATAAGAAAAATGCCCAACAGATTTCTTTTACTGCTCCTGCTATACTGGTCCACTTGATTGTCATATTTATCCAGTCTTATTATTATTATTATTATTAATTTTGATTTTATTTGGAGTTATTACAGGACCGGGCGATGGGAAACAGAAAGAAAGAGGGCAAGAGAGAGAGAGAAGACAGCAGGGAAACCATAGCAACAGCCAACCTCAGCATCAGCAACAGTCAATACTAAACATGAATGTTACTGAGCAGCACACAGGACTGATAACGCACGAGATGTTTGGAGACAGCAGCCAACCCAGACAGTGTGTGTCTGCTTACACCTGTGTGTGTGAGCGCTTGTGTTCATCAGGTTTCTCCATGTAAGTGTCTGATAGTGGGAGTGGGGAGCCATGGCCCCGCCCCCACAGGTCATTAGGCAGGCATGGAGGAAATCCCCCCAGAGCCCGAGGAGGACCGACTCCCATCCAGGGCCGTCGTCTGTGGCTCTTCTGCGCAGCTGCTGTCTCTGCTGCTATTTTCGGGGACTTCTCATTTTAAGGACAAATTTGCGTCACACTTGGATCAATTCTTGCTTTTTCAGAACGTCTCACCGCGCTCCTCATTTCAGTTTGTTAGAACATCACATTTGTGACCTGTTACTAAACATGTGGACACCAGATGGCGCTCTGCGGTGATCACAGCATCGTAAGTGTTTGTTTGGACCCGTGCAGCTGCAGATCATAAATCAGCTTCTGAAAAACACATCTGGGTGTTTCAGCTTGTTGGAAGTGCGTCGGGCATTTTGCAGTATTTTGGTTGCAGACTGACGTAATATGACGAAGGTTTCAGGTATTTTACGAAATGCACGCGGCGCCCACAGGACATCAGAAGATCTGTCCGGTGGGTTTGATTCTCAGGTTCGTGTTTGGCTCGGTGCTCTCGTACTGTCAAGTACTCGTAATCCTTTACATTTTTTTCTGATTGCTTGAGCACATTTTTGTAACTATTGGCTAATTTTGCAAAACTCTTCACACAAATAAGAAAACCTGTCACCAATCATCAAAACATTGTAGTTCTCTTGCAAAAGCAAACACAGC